TGTACCACTGTCATATGATGTCTTTTACTCTTGGGGAAGATACGTGGAAGAAAATAGCTGGCTCAAATGGAATTTCTAATTTTAGTTTTTTGAAGATTCTCCATACTGATTTCCATATGGCTGTACTAGTTTACATTCCCATCAAAAATGTAAGAGAGTTCCTTGCCAGCATTTGCTATTATTTGATTTCTTGATGTTTGCCCTTCTTACTGGAATAAAATGTAATCTCCATGTTGTTTTAATTTATATTTCTCTAATAACCAGAAATGTTGAATATTTATTCATGTATGTATGGGCCATTTGTATTTCTTCTTCTGTGAAGTGTCTGTTCATTTTAAGTGTTCATTATTTGATTGCATCTTTTATTTTGGTGGTCTAATGTTTTCTAGTTCTTTATATAGTCTAGATATTAGTCTTCTACATGGAGCAGCTGGAAAAATTTTTCCCATTCTGTAGGCTGTTTTTGCACTCTGTTGGTTGTTTCCTTTTCTGTACAGAAGCTTTTTAATTTTGTATGATCCCATTTATTGGTTCTTGATGTTGTTTCATGTGCAGATAGGGTTCAGTTCAGAAAGACTTTGTGTATGCTTATGATTTCAAGTTTTGTCTACCTTATATTCCAGCAGAGTAAGTGTTTCTATTTTGATATTTAAATGTTTGATCCATTTTTGTTTTAGTCTAGACATGGTGAAAGATATGGGTCTAGCTACAGTCTTCTGTATGTGGCTAGCCTATTTTCCAATCACCATTTACTGAAAGGGCTACCTTCCCTCCAGAATACATCTTTGACTCCTGTCAAAGATCAGGTGGCTGAATGTATCTTAGACCTTTTCTGTGTCCTTTATTCTGTTCCCCTGACCCACCGGTCTGTTTTTGTCACAGTACCATGCTGTTTTTATCACTACCTCTTTATAATATAACCTGAAATCTAGGATTATGATGCCTCCTGCTTTGCTCTTATTATCTAGGATTGCTTTTCTTATTGTGAGTCTCTTCAGGTTCCACATGGCATTTCCATTGGCATTTAGCCCAGGATTGCATTCAATCTGTGTATCCATTTTGGTAAATGACTATTTTGACAACATTGGTTCTGCTTATACAGGAACAGGGGCTATTTTTCCATTTCCTGATGTCCTCTTCAATCTTCTTTTTCAGAGTTCTGTAGTTTGCATTGTAGAGATGTTTCACTTCCTTAGTTAGATTAATTCCTACGAATTTAATTTGTTTATGTTATTGTAAATGCTATTGTTGTTCTAATTTCTTTCTCAGTATGTTCATCACTGATGTACAGGAGCACTATTTATTTTTGTGCATTGACTGAATTTGTTATTAATTCTAGCAGTCTTCTAGTAGAATTTTTGAGTCTTCAATATGAAAGATCATGTCATTTATGAATAGTGATAATTTGATTTCTTCCTTTCCTATACATATATTTGTACTTCTTTCTCTTACCTGATTGTTCTGGCTAATGTATATTGAACAGAAGAGGAAATAACAGGCAACCTCATCTTGCTCCTGATTTTGTAAGGAAAGCTTCCCACTTTTCCCATTTAATGTAATCTTGGTCTTTGGTTTGCCACTAATGGCTTTCATCAGATTGAGGTAAGGTCCCTCTTACCCATTTTCTTTGTGGTTTTATTATGAAGTGGTGTCAGATTTTGTCAAAAGCTTTTTCTGCAAATATTTATAAGATCATATGATTTTTGCCCTTGCTTCTGTTCATGTGGTATATTACATTTACTGATTACATATGTTGAACCATTCTTGCAGCTCTAGGATAAAACCTACTTGGTCATGATCTATGATCCTTTTGATGATTTGATACATTCGATTTGCCACCATCTTATTGAGAATTTTTGCACCTATATTCACTAAAGAAATTGGCCTGCACTTTTCTTTTTTAGTTGGGTCCTTGTCTTGTTTTGGAATCAGTGATGCCAGATTCCATTGGAAGCACTTCTTCCTTTACAATTTCATTAAACAGTTTGAGAAATATTAATGTTAGAATCTCCCTAAAGATCTTGCAGAATTCACCAGTAAGTCTATCAGGTCCTGGATTGGTTTTGGTTTTGGTTTTAGTTTTTGTGTTGGTTTTGATTTTTGGTTTTTTATTGCTACCTCATTTTCAATGCTCATCCTTGGTTGTTCAACATTTTTGTCTTCTTGGTTCAATTTTGGTAATTCATATCCACAGCATAGTGTCTAGATGTCTTTCACCTTAAGAACGACCCAGCCAGGTGTGAGAGGCTGAAGCAGGGAGACTGCCATGAGTTTGACCCCAGCCTAGGCAGCTTAGCAACTTAGCAAGACCCTGTCTTAAAATTAAAAATAAAAAGAAAGCTAAGTTTGTAGCTCATGGAAAATCCCTGTGTTCGTTCCCCAGAGCCATCCTCAAAAAAAAAAAAAAAAAAGAAAGAAAGAAAGAAAATCTTTCTTCTATCTATTGCCTGATTCTTGCTGCTCCCTAGCAAAGTTTCTCTTACATATTATTGACTTCAAGTCATATTTTCAGTAAATTATCATTGCTAAAAATGAAAAAACAAAAAGGTGTAGTGGTGCACACTGTAATCCCAGCTCTCGAGAGACTGAGGCTGGAAGACTGTCATGGGTTTGAGGCCAGTCTGGACTACATACTGAATTTTAAGGCCAGTTTGAATTATAGAGCAAGACTGTCTCAAAGAAATGTAAAAAAAAAAAAAATAATAACACTGTGGTGAAATTGCTCTGTAGAATTAGTCCTTGCTAATAAATGTTATTTCTTTCTGATGCATTTTTCTGCATATGTACATGTATACATAAAAGTCTATTTTATAAATACTGTTTCATTTCAGATTACAGTGGTATCTCAATTCATGAATGCTTTTGTCTGTGAACAATTTGGTTCACAAACAGACGCATTTGGAAAACTTTTTGTTTCTGTTTTTGAATTCTGCATTGAGTGATAAATACCACTTGGCCATCTTCCCTGCACAAATACAAACATGGATATCTTTTCCAGAATCATAGGACAAATTAAGTTCATGAACAGAGATACCACTGTATATAGTAAGTATGTTACCATATTATTTTGCTAATTCCATTAACATAATGTTAAAAGAATATGTAATCTATTTTCTGACTATACTACAATTTGTTGAATCATCTCTTGCTACTGGATGCTTAAATTTTTCTAGTGGTTTGTTAAGATAAAGATCACTCTGTAGAACACTTTTACTTGCATTTCAAATTGTTTGCTTTAGATAAATTTCTAAAAGTGGGACCCTCATGTCAAAGAGTGTGATCATATTTAAAAATTTTAATACATATTCCCAAATTGCTATCCAAAAATGTACCAAAATACATGCTCTGTTTCACTCTGTTTTCTCCAGGTTTATTTTCACTTAAAACAAAGAAAAGAAAAAGAACTTTTTTATCTAATTATAAAAATGTTATTGAATTTTTTTTATTCTGTACTTATTTAATTAAAAGTGAAGCTGGGGTTTAGAAATGTAGCTCTAATGTAGAGCATTTCTCTAGCTGAGTTCAGTCTCCATCACTGCCACCAAAAATAAATAACTAAAGTAAAAGTGAACAAGCTTGACATACATATTAGCCATTTCTACATTCTCTTTGGTGATATACGTATTCATGATTTTTGCCCACTTAACTATTGGGCTCTTGATATTTTTCTTATTTATGGTTCTTCATATTTGAAAGTTATTAAATCTGTCAAGTTTATCAAAAAAATTTTCCCTATTGAGTTATCATTTAAATTTATTTAGGAACTTGGATGTTTGTGGAAGAGGAAGGTCATGTGGAGGCATATATATATGTAAAACATTTGAATATATATATTCAAATCTTTCAATAATTTCCTTTGAGATTTCTTCCATTGCTATTGTATTCAAAAAGTCCTTTTATATTCAACCACCAAGTAATCATTCATCCACAGTATTATATTACCAATAACTTCTGGCTGTAAAACAAAGGTGAAAACTCATTTTCTGAAACCACTGGTCAGTAAGTGAGATAGGCAAATACACAGATAAACATAAATGCAACAGTGCTGTTCAATCTAATGAATAGGTTCATGACCAGGTCGGGGGCCAAATTTGCCTAACGTAGCTCATCTCCTGGTTTTATCATTTATTAATTTTGATTCATTTAACACATACATAACACTGTGCTGTTTCTAGAAAAACATGAAGTAGAAATATGATAGCCCATCCCACTAATCAATCCCTTCTTCCTGGCTCTGGTAGTTTTAAAAACAATGACTCATGAAGTATTTCCCAGGCAACCATCCTTCCAGTCTTCCCACAAGTCTGAAATAGTTGGCCCACTGCAATTTCATCTGAGAAATTCTATCTCAATTTTAATTTTATTAGCATGTTTACTGGCTTGCTGGTTTTTTTAGAAAACACTTCAAAAGGAAATATGTACATTATAATGAAGGTAAACAAGAATTGGAAAGCTTCAGGTACAATAGCCATGATTGTTCATAACGGCCATTAGCAAAGGTTTTGAGACATTAATTAACCCAGCTGATGTAGAAATCACTTATTAAGGAAGTCTTCATAGAAATGCCTTGCTTTAAGAATACTGGGAAAAGCTGACTTTTGTACAGTGCTGACAGGGTTATAAAATTGGCACAACCTTTCATGGGATCATTTTCAATACCAGTTAGGGGACTTACAGATGTTCATATTCTTTTAAGCAATAATTCCATTTCTAGAAATCTATTTTAAAAGGTTACTTAAAGAAATAACCTTATAAAGGTTATTTAAAGAGGTTAAAAAGGTTATTTAAAGGTTATTAAAAGGTTATTTAAAGAGGTTAAAAAGGTTATTTAAAGAAATAAAGAGATTTATGTGATCACACAGGTGATTACTTTAGTGATATGTATTATAACAAAACTCAGAACAGCCTCAAAAATAGGAAATCATTAGGTGAGTTTCTGGTAGGGTTATACTACAGGAAATATCAACCATTCAAAATCATATTTTAAAATATTCCTCAAGGTGGCCAGAGGCAACCATGCAGGCTGGGAGGAGAACCCAGAAGAAGCTAACCCTTTCCTGTGAGCCAGCAGCAGTTGTGGGCCAGGCCAACCCTTTCCTGTGAGCTAATGACAATCATGTGGGCCAGGAGGAGAGCCAAGAAGAAGCTAACCCCTTCCTGTGAGCAAACCAGCAGGTGGGCTGGGAGATAAGAAGTGCTGAGCTACCACTCCCATCCCAGGCCCAGTAAACACCTGGCTGATTCAGAGAAACACAAGCTAGATGGTAGCTACTGAAGTAAGTAAAAAAAACAACTTAATGCTTGTATTGTTTGATTGACTTTGCAGACCTAAAGCTGGTAGTCTGAGCATCTATTTAGAGGATAATAATATGTTATATAGCAACTATAAGGGATTTATGAATGTGGTAGTCATTGTTAATTCCCTATTATCTTGTTTGAAAGTCTTGTATCATTTTCATTGTTTTGCTTGGTTTGTTGTTTTATTCTGTTTTGTTTTGTTTGATTTTATTATATCTGTTAGCGTGGGAAGTTAATTCAAAGATAACAAGATATATTATGGTAGCCATTGTTGATTTCCTATTTTGTTTTGAAGTCCTATGTCACTTTCATTGTTTTACTTTGATTGGTTTTATATATTCTCTCTCTCTCTCTCTCTCTCTCTCTCTCTCTCTCTCTCTCTGTACCAGGGATTGAACTCATGACCTCATGCTTGTCAGATAGGCACTTATGCTGCTGAGCTAAATCCTTGGCCCTGATTGGTTTTATTCTGTCCTATTTTGTTTGATTTTATTATATCTGATGGCATGGGCAGCTATTTTGAAGATAACAAGAGGCATTATGGTAGCCTTTGTTGATTTCCTATTATCTGGTTTTGAAGTCTTGTACCACTTTCACTGTTTTGTTCAGATTGGTTTTATTCCACTTTTATTTTGTTTGGTTTTACTCTCTTTAAAATAATAAAAAAGAAAAACTTCATCATGTTTAAGGATATTAGAATGTGCTTCCTGTATAGCACTCATATTTCAAAGTCATATTACAAAAGATACCTTATAATATAAAAATATGTACTTTGGTTTTGCAATTTAGATATATATTACACAAAAAAGATGGCAAGAAAATACAAACAATGTGCTTATAGAATCCTGTCACATTCTGAATTTTTAAAATTTTCTACAGTACAGTAAGTTCTATGGGGAGAAGTGTTATTTTTATAAGTGTTTTATAAATGAAGTAAAAGACCAATCTTCGTGACTGATTATGATGTGACCTATTGTTTCCAACCTGACTCAAGACACTGGGTGATGGTTAGAGGTATAAAGCCAACAACACTTCCATAGAAAGACATGCTTCACCCTTTACCTAAGAAATGAACAAATATGTTCCATATTTACCCATATCCCACTCAATCCCTATAATGTCTCCTTACAGACACTTCATTCCATAGAGAAAACAGCACTTTGACTGCCTACGATATGGCAGGTAATTTCATATACACTATGTTTTTCAGATTCTGGCACTGAACCATCTAAAGCCTCACACATGTTAAACATGCCCTGTACTACCGAGCCACACTCCAGACCCTCATATACATGATCCTATGTGATCCTCACAGAACTTGGAAACACTGAGTTTGAATACATTGACAACCTACATAAAGTTATAAAAGTATGGAGAGCCAAAATTTTGAAATCAAGGCTGCTGACTCCAAGTCAAGAGTGCATCACATTCTGTACCATATAATTATTCTGTGCCAAATAAAAGTACAAAATTTAAAAAGAGCTCAGCTGTCTCATGTATGTGTACATTATATATATATATATATATATATATAATATATAGTCAATGTATATATAGAGTCAAAAAAGTATACATGGTATTTCAATTATACGTCAACTTGGAAAAATAAAACATTCATATTTTGCACAGATTTGCTACATATATAATACATATATATTCCCATATATTTATTTAAGCTTCTACTACCCATTATCATCACGATAATAAATAAATAAATTTCAAACTGTTACAGAAAAATACACAGTTCTCAAACACTCCTTCTCAACATTTTAATGATAATATTTTTAATTGGGTCACAGATTATACTGTTAAATTTATCTTTCCAAATTTGCCTTATATTATTTCCCATGTCTCTAGCATGTTCACTGGCAATTCCTTTGTACTCAATAGCCCTCCCCTACCCCTATATTTCTTGCAACACCAAACAAAATTGATCCAGCTCATCTCCATTAATCCTAAACTGAAATGGGTTTCAAATTTTGCCAGTTGACAATTGTACTTTGACCATTTTCCCTGAATTTTCCTATTAGTGTTGCTTTAATATGCTAAATTATTGCACACTTTCCTGGTTATAGTTTTGTATTGTTCTCACTGGCTTTATTTCTTCTGATGTACATTCTAAGATTCCCAGGAAATGTGATCATTTCATTTGCTCTTCTCCCATCCCAGATGCTTTGTGAAGTACTACATACATGAGTACCAGTAACTAACTTAACTGTCTTCAGCTTGCTTGTGCTCACCTACAAACACACTTCCTCAGGAAAACCAATAAAGCAGAAAATGGAAAGAGAGACGAGTGGACACCACATTGAATTAGCCTATAAACCTCTTTTTTTTTTTTCTTTACCGGTTCTTTTAAGTTGAGGAAAATAAGTTTGGTAGATCTCCCAGCTTTTATAAGATTGCATATTTCAAGGCCAATTTCAGAGCACTTCGGTGTTTGTTTTCAATTTTGATTCAATCTTTAGCAGAAATATTATGAAAGTTCAAATTACGCTGGTTAAGTAAAAGATCCCCAGTTCCCAAATGCATTGTACCTAATTTCTCTGAGCACCCCCACTCTGTCCTCAGGTGTATCCTTTATCTTCTTCTAATAAATCCTCTTCATAAGACCAGGGATTTAGCTCAGAGGCACAGATGCTTGCCTGGCAAGTCTGAGGTCCTGAGTTTGATCCCTGGTACCAAAAAATTAATTTATTAATTAATTAATCTTCCTCAAGCTTATTATTTCTGGGCCTAGTTGGTGAGCCTTGATAAACCATTAAAAGGGTGGGTTAAATTCCTTAGTTCTGCCTCAAGACCCTCACATTCAGCCTGTGATAGAGGGTACAGGAAAGTAAAATAGAATTAAGATGTGCCAACTCCACATGATGAATGTAATCATTATGTCCTACAAACATGTACTAATAAAAATTAAAATTTAAAAATATTATACTGGTTCAGTTCTCATATGGAAAAAATTCAAAAATATTCAAATTCAAAAATATCCTCCTTGTATTAATTCATGCCTATAGCTGTGGAACATGTCACATTTTTAAAACTGGTCTGATCTAAAAGATTTTACACATGAGAATTTCTACTTACATAGGTATGACTTTACTTAACCACTCTTACCTGTAGTTCCATCTGCCCTGCAGGGATAACAATGCAGTGTTCACCTGGATTGTTGGGAGGATCTTATGAGAAAATATACATAAAATATATCATAAACCGATGAAGTACACAAACACAGTAGATCCCCGTCTCTCATCATCCAGGAATACAGTGCAGGACCTCAAGTGAATGCCTGAAACGTAGTTAGCACTGAACCTAGACACGCAGCATTGCCACAGAGTACCAGAATCAATCTTCCTTTGATGTTTTGTGCCCTGGTGCTTCTCCTGCATCATAACCTTACGTTTTTAGGCACTGAGTAAAGCAGGGGTTACACAAACACTAGTGTTACAATAGTGTAACAGTCAGTCTGATAACCAAGACAACTACCAAGTAATTAAGAGGTGGGTAGCACATACACTATGGATATGCTAGACAAAGGATAATTCACAACCTGAGTGGGACAGAGGAGGTCAGGGAAAGAGCCTGTTATACCATTCAGAATTTTGTGAAATTTACAGCCTACAAAGTTTTTATTTCTGGAATGTTTTAATTAATGTTTTTGGAATATGACCATTAATAACTGAAACATTGGAAAGTGAAGCCACAGAAAGTGAGGGATTACTGTATGTGATTACTATATAAAAATGCAAGGTACCCCATATGCTTATCTAATCATGAGTTTAATATCTCTAATATTTGTAATGCATAGCCACTAGTCTTCATAGGGACCATTTCTACCTCCTCACTTAGTATTGGCATTATTAAACAACAATCATTGTGTGCCATATGCTTTGAAATAAACAGATCTATTATGCACTGTTATCAATCACAGTATGATCCTTATAGTACAAGATTTATCCTCTTAGGGACAATAAAACATCTCTATTCAGTTAAAGTCATTGCAGAGTCTTAAGGGCACAGATAAAGCCCATTCCAACTATGTAACTTAAACAAGGTTCCCTAAATGGATTTTTCACTAATTTTACTGTATTTTATCAGTTTTATCAAAATTTCACTTTTAATGGGTTCTGAGAAAATTTTCAAATATGTCCTCTTCCAAACGTTTAGTTTTTTAGCTTTAGACCCCTCAAAGAATCCCAACGTGATTAGAGAAAAATGGAAAATAAATTATTTAAAATAAGGTACTAAAGTTATTTGCAGTGTGGTGACTTGGACATGCATTTCCAGCAACTCTTCTCCCATAAAATCTTTGAAATGACTGAAGAAATAAAAATACACAGAGATGAGCATACTGACATCAGCAAAGGAAACTAGGGTAAGGTGATAAGCACACAGTAGCAGCAACAAAGATACTACAGCAAGCATGAAGCAGACTAAGCTGAGTCTTTTTGTCCCTTTTGTCCAAAGGGAACATGAATACAGGAGACCCCAGAGAATGAAGACAAGACTCACACAATCAAGGGCATTCTAAATAGTGACCACAAAGACTGCAAACAAAGCACAGGTACCCCCACGTGCACAGGGACTTGCTCTTGACACAGATTATTTTTAATTCAAATGTAATTATTCACTGCTCTGCTTTGGACATTATCTCCTACCAGAAAATATAGGTCGACCCCATTATTTCTAAGGTTTAATTCACATTTTATTTTATGGCTGTCTTATACCTGTGTGTATTTCTGGAGATTAGAAAAGAAAGGTATGTGAAATTTCTTTCAATTACTAATGTAATTTTTTATTTAGCTTAATAAAGTAGTTACTACTGAGAGATTCTTATCAATGAAAGGTTTAAGAAGCTTAACTAACAGTTACATACTTTCAGTTAAGTAAAAATTTGTAAGGAACTCTACTATTACATTTTCAATAATGGGCTCAAATTGAAATGTTTAGACATTTTCATCACTTAGCAATTTTCTTTATTAGTATACTTCTGTGATACATAATAATGGGCATGTAAATTTGTAATTTTAATACCATCTAATTGCCTTCCTATAATGTCACAAATCTATTTCTTAACAATAATATATAAAAACACCAATATCCACAAATCCCTAATAATTGTAATAATTTTATAATATTTATTTTTCATTTTATCTTTCTCTTTGAATCTTTCACTTTTTTACCAATCAGCGCAAAGAAGACATTTCATGTTGTTTTAATTTGCATTTATTTGATGACTAGTGAAGTTTAGCACAGAGTCACAATTTAGAGGCTTCCGTATTTCTTTTTCGATGACTTTTCTACTCTTCTCCTTTTGCCTATTTTTCCATTGAGGTTGTTCTGCTTTTTAATTGCTTCATAAGCAGGAGAATAGCTAAGGGAACATATGTTGAAACCAGCCAATCTAGATCCAAATTTCATCTCTGTCACCGAGTACATGAGTTTGGAGAAGTTACCTCACCTCCCTCCACTTCTATGTCCTCATCCATGACAATAACAATATTTCCTACTTTGTAGTTCCTGTGGGATTTTTTGGTGGCTTAAAATTAAAAAGCACTTAGAACAGTGCCAGGCACATAACAAACTTCCTGATAAATGTCAGCAATGTACACAAGCTTAATGATTAGGATGAACAGGAATCATTTATTTGCAGTGGTTATTTTCTTCTATTCTGTTGTTTTTTAAAATTTTACTTTAATGTATTTTACAATTCTAAATTTTTTATTCTGCAGCTTAATTTAGCAGTTTAAAGTTATTCTTCCACAGTTGGACACGATGATACATTCTTGTAGTCCCAGCTGTTTGAGAGGTTGATGCAGGAGGATTAAAAGTCTGACCCTGTATCAAAATAAAAAGGGCTGAGAATGTATTTCAGTGCAAAAGTCCTGAGTTCAAACCCTAGTAACACACACAAAACAGTAGGCTTCTACATGTTCTTCGAATCACTTTGTAATTTCATTTTTAATATTTGAAACTTTAATGTAGTTTTATAAATATCATAAATTTTAAGACATTGGGTGAAATAGACCAATCTTCTCCACTCAATTAGAACGTTCAAAATATTAAAGCTGCAAATGGAATTGCATTAAATTTTCTTATTACCTTGAAGAGTACTAACATCTTTACAGTACAATTGTCTTACCTTGGAACATAGTAATTTCTAGATTTGTTCAGATATAATATTATACCCATAATTAGTTTTGTGGGTTTTCTTTCCATATTTCTTTACCTATTTCTTGCTCTTAAGCATTTCATCTTTAATTTAATAATTCACTAATATGATAAATTATAATATCATCATAATATCATTTCCCATACTGAGTCATTATCCTATATTATAGGATTCTATTCTATGATTTCTTCTAAAATGTGTTAAGCATACAAAAAAGTATATGCTTAATTTATATTTATACTTATTTAATAAACATGTTAAATACTTTATAAGTTTAGCATCTGTGTATTTGTCATCAATTTTCTCAAATATTAACATTTTGCTAAGTTTATTTAATTAAAGGACAGATGAAAATTTCTCAATACTATGTAGCCAAAGTCCCTCATATGCCTCTCCCAGATTCCATTCCTCTTGTTTCCAACTCAGGTATAACCATTGTCTTAAATTAAAGGCTTATGATGAACATATTTTTAACATTAATGTTTATGAAGAACTCATAAATTCTATTTATTGCTATATAGTATTTTTCAACTTCTATATAAATTGCAACATAATATATTCTGCACCTTGTCTTTTGGGCTCAAAAATTTTTCATACTTATAATTATCCCTACAAGCAGCTCTGGTTCACTTATTTTGATAGATATACAATATTTCAACTGATAAATACAATACAATTTTATTTGCTACTTTTCTGATAGCCATTTGTTTCACTTTTTGCTATATGTATGATTTGTATAGGCTATGATACAATTTCTTATATAAATTTTCCCTAAATTTGCAGTGTCCAATGGAATAGCCACCAGCAACCTCTATAAATACTTCATTCATGTTTTTTACCTATGTTTCTATCAAATTGTTTGCTTTACCTTTTCATATTTGTAGAAGTACTTTACCGATTTAGAATTAAGTCTAATACATACTATAATGTACTATTATATTCCATCCTGTAATTTTTCTTTCAACTTCATAATATCTTCTGATAAACAGAGATTTTTATCAATCTTTATTCTATGGTATATTTTTAATGTTTTATTTATCAAATCCTTAGATTTATTTATCAAATCCATTAGAACAAAAAATGTATCTCATATTTTCTAAAATAATTCAAAATGTTAAAAACTTCTCTTTTCATATTAGGTATTTAATCCCTCTAGAATTAAAAACTTTAGTGTGGTATTTTATCAATGTGAATAAACAGTTATTCCAATGTCAGTGCCTTAGATACTTTGTTCTGTCCTGCTCTCATTATATCTATGTATTTCTACATATGTTTTTTATTTTTGATTTTCTGTTTTGATCCATCTATACATTTGTATAACCTCACAATAATATGGTATTATTTTAGTTATCTTTGGTTTACAGTAAGCATTGGCCAGCCAGGTATGGTCCAGCATGCCTATAATCTCAGCACTCAAGAGGCTGAAGCAGGAGGATTGCTGCGAGTTGGAGACCAGCCTAGGCTACAAAGTGAGTTCAAGACCTGCATAGTGAAGCCCTGCCTCAAAAAGAAAAAAATAATAATAAAAATAAGCATTGGCAACTAGTAGTATTAATTAGCCTAATTTTTGTCTAATGAACTTTAATTAATTAGCCTTTTGTTGTCTAATGAACTTTAGAATCAGACTGACAAGTTCCACAAAAAGCACTGAATTTATAAAGCAATTTAGAGAAATAAAGATCTTTATACTATTAAATCTTCTCTTTCATGAAACAGTAAATAGTTCCATCTATTCATAACTTTACTCTCATTGAGTAACATTTTATTTCCTCCATAAATTGTTATAAATATTTTGTCAGATTATTACTATTATGAATTACATGTTTCACATTAACTTTTACCAACATACCAATATCATTTTATCTAGTGAACTCAATTTTTCTTATTCATTCGAGATTTGGTAAGCATATCCTTTTGCATATTTAAAAGAAAAGATTTAATCTTCCTCTCCAATGTCTTCTTTCTTTTCTTTATCTCATTATGCTTTCTAGGGCCACTGGTACAGAGCGGAAGTAACAGAGGGCTCTTAGAGTTGCTCTTAACTTTATTAAGACTGCCCCCAAGTTTTTAACAGCTACATGGTGATGTTAAATCATTTTAAATGTTTAGGCTTTCCTTTTCTATTTTTCCAAGTGTGTGTGTGTGTGTGTGTGTGTGTGTGTGTGTGTGTACATGGGTGTATAAACAAGTTTTGACTTTTATCAAATGTATTTTTAGCACCTACTGAGATGACCATATGGTGACCAGGAAGGCAGGGATAGCACAGAGATGTTACTGTGTATCTTTGTAGCTGTTAAATTTTGTACCAGAACTTTTGGTTCCAGTAAGACTAGGCTACATAACTGGAACAATCAGATAAAATGTTAATAAAATCTTAAAAGCATTAAAGGAATGTTAAGAAGAAATTATAAGAAGAAAATTTTAATGAAAATGGGAACTCAGATGTGAGTGGGATACTGGGCCAAACCTGGCCAATCCATGACCTTAGAAGATGGGGAGGAACACAAAGCTCAGATCGCCTTGGTCGGTGTAATAGGGTACTCAGATCAAAAAGGACTGGTGTAAGTAGGAACCCTTGCTTTAAGGATGAATCAAAGACAAACTCCACTTTTGTCCCGAAGGAACTACAAAGAAAGGCCTCTAGGAAGCCCCCTGCTAAGCTGTAATGATGACAAGCCAACCCTCATGAGGACTGACGGTCCACAGGCACATAAACTGGATGACCCCGGAAAAAGTCAAGCACTGATTGCGTCCCAGACACGCATCCAAAACATGTCTAAATCACCGCTGGAAGAGCCTAACGTCACTCCAGTCTCACAAATGACTTTTCAAAGAAAACAAGTATTCACAGTCACTAAAGAGACAAAGAACTTCAGCAGGGAGCTGAAAGCAGAAAAACCTGAAAACTATCTGATAATAGAATTATCAGATATATTACACAACAACTACTACTGGTACTCTGTGAGATAAAGGCAAGCTTGAAAACAAATCCAGATAAAAAGAAACTGAAGAATGACCATGCAGAATTTTTTTAAAGAATCAAATAGAACATCAAAAACTGACAACTATATTAATAATAATTAAAAACTAAATGGATGATTTTGACAGCATATTACCATAGCTGGAGAAAGATATTAAAATGGAGAGTAAATCATAAAAACTTCTCTAGAAGGAAACAGAGAAGCGGAAATATAACACATAAAAGGCACAGAAGATAGGTTGAAAAGATAACATGCCCCCAATTAAACTTTCAGAAATAAAAAAGAATGAGTATGAAGTATTACAGGAGATAATAGCTGAGAATTTTACAAAATGGTGAAAAACACCAATCACAAGCTTGAAAAGTCTAACAAAACTCAAGTAGGGTGAACTTTAAATTTTTTAAATGTATCGTCTCTGTTAAAATTTTTTATTTAAATGGCTTTTTAAAAAAATTAACCAAATGGGGAAACAAGGTTAGGAAACAAATCAAGAAGAATGTTATACATTATGGGAGGCTTTCTAAATTAAATTTATTCTGATGAGTTAATTTGGACATCGGAGGGTATACCAAGAATACATGGGGGACTCCTGTGACTAAAAAAGTGTTCAATGACCCTTTCACTTCCAGGAGAACAGTGGGCTAATAAACAACTCAGCCTCTCTGTGATTCAGAATCTATCAACTGGAATACAACCACTTGGGGAAGAATTAAAAGGTGAAGGGAGTAGATCCCTGGAAACTGGATCTGAGAGTAAAATTAAAATCCACAGAGAAAATAAAGACCTAGAACATGATGCAGAAAAGGGAAAAAAGAATCTGTACTTTCTCCCTGGCTCCCAGCTCCTGTTCTGCTCAGAAGAAAGGAAGATCACATCTACAAAGACAAAGTGAAAGTGGGGGGCTCCACAGAACCTCTGGGAGAAACACAGCGGTGGACCGGACCAGCAGACGCTGTGAGCTGCAATAGCTCTTAGGAGACTCCAGTCCAAAGCCCCACCGCAGCCCCTGGGGAGAGAAGGTGGTCGGATGTCACTCCAGGGAGGGGTCGATTGCTTGGACCTCGAGACTCAGTGCAGCCAAGGGACAGCTTCGATTTGGGAATCTCAGTGTTACATTTCCACAGCGTCTGGGGGAGGGACAGCAGTCAGGGAGCCATGGTCAGGCTGGCAAGAGACACACCAGGTGCTTAACCTGAAGAACACAGGCCCAGACCCACTCCTGGAGGTCGGGCTCAGCCTGAATTGATTGCTGTGCGTCTGAAAATCCTAGAATCGCTGCCCTCACCCTAGTCCCACTGTATGCCAGTGCCCGCATCTGGCACAGATCTGGGGGTCTGACTGCCTTATCTATCAGCAGGAGCAGGGACGTGTCTTGACTTGGACAATGCCCCAAAACTTGATAACAGAAGAAAACTTAGATTCAGAATCACAGAGAAATTTCTTTTTCTCTCTCTTTCCTTTTTTTAAACTTGATTTTGGTTTGGGGTATTTGTTTTTTCTGTTTGTTTTTGTTTTCTATTGGTGTGTTCATCATTTTTAATTTTGTTTTATTTTATTTTTGTTCTTCTCTTTTCCCAGCTGCTTCTCACTTCTTTACCTGTGTATTGAGGCTTGCAGTGTTGTTGTTGGTATTGGTGTTGGTGTTGATTTGTCTTCCCTTTTTCCTTATCTCTTTCTTTTCTTTCTTTAACTTTTCCTTTTCTCCCTTTTAATTTTTCTTCCTTTAATTTTTTCTATTTTTACTCTCTGAATAATACTTTATTTCTTCCTCCTTTTCTGTTATCAACCATTTATCCTCAGTTTTTCTCTTATTAACTATGTAAATATCCCTCTACTACCAAATAAAATGCTTTGTATCACTTCTGTCTCTTCCTTCTCATACCACAGAATTTAAGGTTTCAAACTTTTCCTCTTGAACTGCCCTGTTCCCAAATCCTGTATCTCTCATAATACAACAATAAAGCTTTGTTAATCTTTGGCAGTCAATTCTGTAAAATTACTCTCAAGTTCTTTTCAACCATTAGTGGAGATATGGCTCCCTTATTTAGTACCCATTAGGTGTAAGTCAGTACCTGGGTTGTCTTAATGTGTACAGCATAATTACAAATTTGTTTCTAGAATTAAGGTTAGTATGTAATTGGTTTTCATGATATATTAATATCCAGTTTGTCTTGGATGACATCACCACAGCTGATTCACTTGATATTAACATGGTTACATTATTGTCACTATTTCTCTATAAACTAACTCTCGGAATACCTTTTGTGACATTAACAGTACTAGAATATATCCCCCAAAGAACTAGGTTGTTGGGTCAACTGAACTGCATCCTCTCCTCCCAAATTAACCAGAGTGGTTTGATCTTAGGGCTCTGCTGAAGGATTACAGTTAGCCATGCCCAAAGTACATCACTGAAAAGCAACTGAACAGCTTTCTATACTAGCAACAAAGTCTTTAGGATATAAACATTCACAAACCTCAGACAAAACAAACAAAACAATAGATACCTGAGAAGACAGGCAACAAAAATGCCTCCCCAAATTCCCAACTCCCCCAAAGGCAATCCAGGAGGCACTAAGGGGCAGAATACATAAGCCACACAATTCACAAGGATAACAGTGGAGGTTAAAAAGCAGATCAAACAGGTACTCAGCAGGGTCACAGAAGATATAACTAAACATATCATGGACCAAAGTGACCAAAGAGATACAAAAACTTGCAGGAAGCACTAATTTAAAAGCTAGATGGACTAAATGAAATTCTACAAAACATGAATGACCAGTTTAAAAATTGGAAAAGTTTCAATTAGAAATTCAGAAGATTCAAAATCATATTGAAAGTATAGGTAATAGAAGCAATCGATGTGGGGACAGAATTTCAGACTAGAAGACAAGATGTGTTCAAAGACCAGCTACTCAGAGACACCTTGAAGATAACACAACATGTAAAATGGATTCAATAGCAGCCAGATGACGTGAAGAAAACTAAGCTTTAGAACCTGGACCAGGAAGAACCAGGAAGGCAGCCAAGCTTCTGCCTGTGAGCTAGACTAAAGCCAGGAGTCCGAGCAACTATTTAGAGCACAATAATGTGTAATATAGTAACCATTATAGATTTCCAACTGCTTTATTATTGTTTCTTTTCTTTTTATTGTTTTATTCCCTTTAAAATAAAAATAAATACAAAACATAAATAAATAAAATGAAAAAAAAACAAAGAAAACTAATCTAAGAATACAGTGGAACCTTGGTTCACAAAATTAATTCATTCCATAATTCTGGAAAAATGGCCACATTCTTGTTCCCATGGCAAAGATGCTATGGTCATATCCATAACTTGATGCGGAGTTTGCGAACAAATACAAAATTTTGTCAAATGCTTCTGGTTATGAGCCAAACTATTCACAAACAAAAGCATTCATGAACTCAGGTGCCACTGTAATTGGAATAACTGAAAAACCAGAAGAAAGCACAAATGGTATTTGGGGGGGGGGGGACCTGTTCACAGAAATGATGGTAGACAACTTCCCAAATGATGGTAGACAACACCAAA